TTCGCGGCTGATTCTACGTCGCTTCTCAAATCAAATAATTCGCGCACATGATGTCACTCGACAAGACGCGAAAAACGTGCGAGTACACTGAGAAGAAAATATTAAAAAATTCATTTGTAGGATATCTATATTTATCCGCGGAAATAAAGTTTATCTCAGAAATCGCAGAAATTAATTTCTTATCTCAGAAAAAAATTTCAAATATTTTTTTCTCGGAGGTAGACACGAGAACAACGAAATGAAGTTCTCATTCGTTAATCGTAAACCAAATCTCTGATTAGAAACTAAAACGACTCACTGCATCATGGCTGGCGCAAGTGGGCTGCTGTCTCGATGACTCTTCTGTCCTACCACACCTCTCGCGTGCCGCTTCTTCCTGCGTGTCGTCCGTTGCGTTGTCGTCGGACAATGTTGTCTCCCGTTCGTTAACGAGCAAGGAAGGAAAAAAAAACGAAAAAGGCCAAAAGAAGAGAGAAAAAAGAAAACAAAAAAGAAAAAGAAAGGAACTTCTAAAGAGGAAAAAGAGAAAAGTACCGGAGTCCCGTATCTGTCACCGGGTCGACAAGAACTGAACGACATGTGACTTAGCGAAGCATACGAAACGTCGAGTTCGAACCGAATGGTGCGCGGAGAACTTCGAGGGTGGTCAGGGATTCCCCTCCTGAAGCCGCTCTTCCCTACTTCCCCACTACGACCTACGACGACGGACAATTATCCCCACTTATTTGCCACGACGTCTTCCCCAATGCGTCCTGCCAATCCACATTCCGTAGCCTTCCCCAACTTCATCTTCCTCGCCTGTTGCTCGTGTGTTGCGAGGTGCCCCCACTCGTGATCGACTACTCGAAACGCCCCACTCAGGGGATCCCCGCAGGCAAGTCGTCGCCAGCACGGTCCGTACGTTTCGCCCTGGCTTTGAGCCATTACCACCGCCACCGCCGCCAGCGCCAGCGTACAGGCACGTGCACTCTCCAGGCAGTTCAAAGTGGAATGGTTAAAAAATTGTAAAAAGACTTCTCGGGCAAAAGGAGGAATCGTATAGTCGAAGTAAAAACTTGGTCGGTTGGTCGAGAGAGAGAGAGAGAGAGAGAGCCTGGAGTTCATGCAGCTCGAACAGAAAATCGTCAACCTGGGCTGCGTTCTGATATCCTCTGCTAGTACTGAAAATCTGTAGTATACGTAACATGAACTGTAGAACTTCAGTACCGGTAGTGGACACCAAAACGCAGCCTCGCTCGACACCCGCTGACCACCCTGAGATTGCGGAAAATGGTGTTTGTCGCAAACAAAAAAACAAACAGCTCTCGTCCGTTCCTTTCGCGATACGTCCGCCGAAAGTTTTTACAGGTCGCACGGCGAATTGCCCCGAACAGGTCCCCGCTTTGGCGGGACGTTCCTCAAAGCGGAATCCCGCACGTGCCACTTCCGCCGGCATGCTCGCGTCGAAAGGCGACCGCACGTGGACACAGGGCGAGGGAAAACAAATGCTCGGAATCACCTTTGGATACGGAGACAGCTGCGCGCGTTTGCACGCGCGCCGTGATAGCAGCCCGTGGGTTCACCCTTTATATGCGCGCAGTTAAGGAAGGAAATTCGCAGCAACTGCGAAATTGCCTATGTTTTATCGCTGATTATTAATATTAATTATGATTATGATTATTAATATTACCCTATGAATACCGTCAACTTTCTTTTGCTTTGTTGCAGACTACGGCAATCTGCAGGCGATGACAAGTACTTAATCACACTGAGAAAAAAATACTTGGAAATACTTGAAAATTTCTTTTTGTAGGATGTCAAGTTCATTCACAGAAATAAGCTCTATATCCCATAAATAAATTTTCAATTCTTCTTCAGTGGTAGATTGAGCTACATTGAGAGAAAATAGTCGAACGTGTTTATTTATGGAATACAAAGTTTATCTCTGTGAAATAGAATTTATACCTACGAATAAACTTTCCTACAAATTTTTTATCTCGTAATCGAATTTTCAAATATTTTTTTAATTGACACTAGATATTAGGACAGCCTAGATGTTAGGATGACCCAATAACTTATTTTTGATAAGGGACACGATGCCAAGACAGACAATTTTACGTAACCATCGCGATTGCATAATGAGACGCACAATTTCTCTGCACTCGCGCTATCTCTCTCGAATCGGTCGTAAGAAAAAAGGAGCAAACGACGTTAAAAAGAACTGACGAAAAGCGGACCGCGATCTGCACTCGAACTTTGGATATCATATTTCGAAGGTCGTGGCCCGTGCACGTGTACAGTGCGTGAATGAATCAACAAACATGAAACTCTTAAATACGAGCATGAGTCTCTTTCTTCGCCGCCTCCCTCTCCCCGCTTTCTTTTTTTATTGATTGAATCGCGATGAAAATGATTGCGGTCATCATATACTCGCTCTTATTCTGCAGAATGTTAGTCGACGAGATTTTATCAGTCAATCGCATTGATCGGTCAATAAACTCTTATTGAATGCAGATCGAGCGCGTCAGATAAGATCTGCATCGATCGGAAAAGTTGTGGAACGAAACGAAAAGTAAACGAAAAATGAAGTGATCAAATATAAGAAGAAACAGACCTAGTTTAGAACTAAGCGCTAGATTAAAGTGCACGAAAATTATTAATTAATTAGTTCAATGAACCGATATTATCTAGTAATCTATGTGTATAAAATAGAACGTCTGTTACTCTCTCTCTTTCTTTCTGTCTCTCTCTCTCTCTCTCTCTCTGTTCCTTATATATTAAACTCTTTGACCGATCTGAACCAATTTTAGGCTACATGAAACCTGGACACCCACTCCTTCCTCTTGATTTCATCCCCCTTGTGCGATGGCTTAGGCAATGCCCGGTTGTTTTATTTAGTTATCTCTAATATCATTAAAAATCTAACAAATATATAATTGACGAAACTTTGTGTATTCGTATTTGCCAAAAGTTTTTTTCCTTTTTAAGTTCAAGAAAGCGTCTCCGTTTAAACTGTCTTATAATAAAAGATAAGTTCGACGGTCATTGTGCACAGGAATGCGCGTCAATCAAATGAATCAACATCAAACCTTAAGTATGACGCACCGACTCTCTCTTTCTTTCTCTCTCTCTCTCTCTCTCTCTCTCGTTCTCTCTCACAACATACTTCTTGCGAGCAATCGGCTCGTTCTTTTCTCGGAACGAATCCTTCCGCGAATTTGAGGGTGGCGGACAATACGATCCAAGGATTACTTTGATCGCTGAATGAACCCCTTATCTTTAGCGGGCGTTAGGCGCGGAGAGAGAAAGAATCAGCGAAGAGAGAAAGCTCTCTCGCGACGGAGTGTTTTCGGCACCACCGCCACTAAGGGAACTTCGGGGCATTTTGGCCGCGAGGCCTCGTGCCTGAGACGAATCGACAAACACTTCGGCGGCGAAGACAATCTTCGTTTTCACGCAATTGTTAGCATAGGGCCGCCGGGAACGAGCTGCATCGTTGCAGTCTTCCATCGACGGTTGCGCTTTGTTTCGAGCTTGCGTCGCCTATGCACACAGGGATCTTTGCGCGCAGCGGAACTACCCCCAAAGTCTACGAGTAAATATTTTTTTGCGCAGCCCGGCGCGAACACGCCTTAACAGCCCTCGCGGTGCGCTTTGTAAACCAGCGCGTCTGGTGGCGTGCACGCAGAGAAATATGTACCGCACTCAAGCAAATGTTACTTGTTTCGAATATTTCCACGAGCTTATCCCACAAAAGCATCTTTTATTCAAAACATATCCTCTGTATCCTGGAAAAAAAAAGTTTGGTCGAAGGAACCAATTTCTGGTGAAATATGAACGGTTCTCAAGTAATCAGAATTCGGCCCAAATTATCAGGATTTCTGGTTAACTCAAACAGAATTCTGGTAATTTCAATTGAGATTTCTGAATCGTTCGTATTTCACCAGAAATTGGTTCCTCTAATCAAACTTTTTTTTTTCGTGTAATAAGCTTAACATTTCAATAAAAAGTATTAAATTAAAACAAAAAATTCTATTTACATACTGCACAAAGTTAAACTAATTCTTTCTTTTTTATTGTGGATACATGATAAGATGGCGTGACTGTTATTTACCGATCCTTCAGCAGCTAGGCCGAGTCCTTTTCGGTCGATGTTTGAGAATTGCGAATGCCAAAATATATCACCTTGTGCCTCTCTCTCTCTCTCTCTCTCTCTCTCTATTTCTTTTATCTGACCGCAAAGCGAGCGCTGCCGCTTTAATATTATTCGCGCGCGAAAATCAATGTTGAAGCGCGAGTTACGAAGTGACTTACGAAGTCACAGGGATGCTAATTAAGACGACGATCAAATGACGCATATATCGTGCAAGTATCTCGCGTTCAGAAAGCAACAGATGAATAGATTCCCGATAAATGCTAATGCGCTTCGAGTGAAGTAATTTTCCGACGCGGGTAAAGACCGCAAATCTCGCGGAAGAATGTCGCGACAGTGTCAACGAACGACGCCACAGTGCGAAACACCGCGCCAAACAATGCAATTCGAAGCTACGTCGCCAAGTGCGACACAATCGTAGACAACATTGTAAAAACCTTGATGGGTTTTCATAGCGTTTAAACGGATAACGCACAGAAAAACATGACTTAGACAGTAAGAAAATTTACCAATCACAATCGATCATTCTTGGATCGTAAGAAGAATCATCGACTGCGGTTGGTTGGTTCGCTTACTGGTCAAGTCTCACTATTTTCTGTGTGCTATCCGCTTTAAGTAGACGCGAAGTCGAGCGACGATAGCCACTTCGAGTCCACCATTGGCTTATTCACTGATACACGTACAGATCCCAACTATTTTCCGCGCCAGGAATAATTCGTGACATATTATCCTTATAGCAGAATAATTAGAGCCTTTCCCAACGAGAAAGGCTTTTTTATGGTCGCGCTGACGACGTTATAATCTCGCTCGCACCTGACACATGCATTCGCGGCACGCGACTACGATAACGATAACGATTGTCACTAACCTGGAGAGCGTGCCGCTCGGCGAGTGCGGCGTGGAGGGGCCCTGATCGTGCTCCTGATGATGATGCGGGGTGCTGGTCGCGTGATGCGTGTAGATCGTGTCCATGTACAGCTGATCGGTCACGCGCTCGGACTCCTGCAGCCCGTGATTGGACTGCACCGACGATGGCTGCATAGCCGTGAGATGTGTGAAGGACTGCAATCTACCCTGATCGTTTGGGCTGTAGCCAGCTTCTTGGACCAGGCGATGCGGCGACTGATCATCATGAGGACTGTGACTGGGAGTCGGCGAGCCGCCTGTCCTAACCGACGGAGAACCACCGCCGCCGCCGCCGCCGCCGGCACTGCCAGTCGCGGTAGCACCGGCGCGGATATGATGCTGCAGGTAGGAATCCTCCAACACGTCGTCCAAGTGATGCGAATGATGGTGATGATTGTTGGGCCCGTTACCGGATCCCGCGGCATTCGACGAATTGATGGGGAACAGAGTTCCCAGATAATCGCCTCGAGTTCTCATGGCAACGGTAATGCCACTGACACCTCGCTCCGCGTCCTCGTCCGTCTCTATCTCGTGATGATGCTGTGGCTGCTGATCGTCCAAGTGGCGATGAGCCGACAACACGGCGTGTTGATGCACCTCAGACAAGTGGTGATGCTGCTGCTGTTGATGATGATGCTGATGATGATCGGTCGTAGTTGGTGAGAGCGTCTCGGTGCCGTAACGATGCATCGTGGAGTGAGGCATGTGACTGCCGGCTCTGCTTCCCTCCGTCACGACGGAGGCCTCTGTCGGGTGCCGGTTATCCCCTCCCTCGGGAACCGGGACCTCTCTCGCCCCGAGCTGGATGTAATGTTGCGTCTGGTGGTGTTGGGGCTGGGAGTGCTGCGACGGCGGCGGCTGCTGCTGCTGCTGCTGCTGCTGCTGCTGCTGTTGCTGCTGCTGCTGCTGGCGGTGGTGGTGGTGGTGGTGGTGGTGGTGCTCTAGATGGTGCGACGGGTGGGACGACTGAGAGACCTGTTGCTGTTGCTGCTCCTCCTTTATGTCGCCACCCTCGTAGCGGGGTGAGCCCTCTTCGAGGTAGCTACTGTTTTGGGATAAACAGGTAGAAATAACTACCTGTATTTTTGGGAGAGCGAAGATTACGCTAATCACGTGGCCCGTAAAATTTGATTTGACGGTTTCACGATGACGTTTCAGCGCAAGACAAAACCGAGGTGTTTCGGGGTGTTCGCACAATGACAGTGCAAAATAATATATAGAGACATTTCTACGCGATCAAATCCCGCTCGACAAGCTGATATCTAATCAAATCGTTCGTGCTGTGACACTCACCTTCGAATGATGTTTGCAGCATGGTAGCCCAGCTGATGAAGAGTGTAGGTGGCGCTGGGATCCTCGACATGGTCAGCGGCGACGGCGGCAACCGCAATAGCAACTGCTCCAGCACCGGTCGACTCTACTATGGCGCCATTTTCCATTTCCGGCTGTCCCGCCTTCAGCACGCCCACACTCTCCTTCCCGACCTCTTCACTCGCCACGTACGCCAGTTGCCGTTGTTGCTGCTGTTGCTGCTGCTGCTCCTGCCGCTGGTCGACTTCATGCTCGATGACGTCTTCGCTCTTTATCGGCACTGCGGCCACCGTCATTGCCGTCGTCGCCTCCCCCTCTTCTTGCTTGATGACCGCCTCTCTGGCAGTCTGCGACGTCGGCTCTGCGGTCCCCTCGACATAGTCGAGCAACGCTGCAAAAAGATTGACGTGCTCAATGACAGAATGTCGACAGAATAGTTGCGGAATTTCAAATCTATTTTAGGATCGGAGGACCCCCGCATTGAGCAAATAAGCAGCCACCAAAAGTTCGCAAACGACTACGGGGACATCGTCACACAGCATCACCGATATTAACGGCGTAATAAATTTTTACAATACATTATTTTTCAGTCTGATATTTTGTTCCTTTAGAAAACAAGTTTTAGTGGTACTTTCTTTTTGCTTTATTCTTGGTATTCACACACCGACAGAGATCAATATTCCGCGAACGGAAATATATGAAGAAGAAAAAAAAGACTGCATTCTTTTAGAACAAAACTGATTATTTCATCCAATGTCACTTATCTCCTTAAGTATAAATTTGTTACTTTGTAAACAGCGAAAACAAACATAATCGATAGTAACAAGTTGCATAACCGTATCACAAAGTTTTATAAATCGATTCGTGACACACGTGCGTATCTGAGAAAGCCGATATCGTCGACACGCGAATATAAATGGCAAAACGTTTTGGAAAAGCGCATTCAACCGTTTCATTCAACTCAAAGCAGGCGTCTTATCAAGATCCGTGTTGCGCTATCAAATATATTTTAGTAACTGTTTAAAAAAAATAATTTTTTTATCGATTTTTATTTCTCTCGTTCTTCACCACATATTTTGTTACATGCTGGGTAAAAATTAAATATGTAGTAGCCCTGAGCCAGAAATACCCTAAAATAGGTATGACTCCAAAACAATTATTTACTAATAGATAATGATCAATAATTATAAGATAAGTATTTTTATGAATACATTTTACATAATTAAAGTAATAAAGAATTTCAGTATTAAAATTTTTTTGTGATTTTAAATAAAAAATATGAATGAATAAATTAGTCAGAGAAAAAAGATGTTCGATATTGATAATAATAATGGTATTATTATTTTCATTATATGAAAGTATTATATATAATTAGAAAAATTGTAATAAAATTATAATAAAAATTTTAATGAAAAAGAGTTGTGTGTGTAAAATAGATGGTAACATGTATTCTAAAAAAAAAAACAATTTATTATAACTTAAATAAATATATCAGAATAGGACTTGAATTCGTCATTTTAGTCAGAATTTGTTTTGGTAAATATCAAATAGGATCTAAATAGAGTCTTTATATGGTCTGAATAAAAGGACATATAAAGAGAAACTTTGTTTAAGTTCCTTAATTTTTAAATCTTTGTTTTAAATTTCTACCTGAGTGTGCATGGTAATGTTGTGTATTATACATATAGTTTCTTATATAACGTCTCTTGTTTTCCAAAAAAATATGTATATATAACTTTTATATATATATACACACTAATAATAATCATGTAATAAAATATAGCTATATTTTATTCTATTCATTCTTCTATTCTATACTGTTCTTTTGCTTTAATAGCTCTTTGTAATTCGACTAACTGCCAAAAACGGATCGACATTTTGTGGCGGTATCGCACCCGTTTTTCTACAGAAAAACGAATTCACCCGTGCAACAATGTCGAGAGGTGCCAAGATCGATCAAAATTCGGCAGAGACACAGGACACACGCGCCTTTGGTGTACCGATGACACCGAGAAACTGTTGCTAGCCGGTGCGTTACAAAAATAACCACGTGTTCTTATCTAGTCGTCGTTGGTGGTGGCACACGCACTCACGCATTCAGTCGTGGATGGACATTGCGTCGTTATGAACGCATGTACGAAGGAGAGAAAGAGAAAGAGAGAGAGAGAAAGAGAAAGAGGAAGAGGGAGAGAAAGAGAAAAAGAGTAAGAGAAAGAGAAACGAGGCTAAGAGAGCAAAGAAACGAGGAGAATGGTTTCGCGAGCTGTTCTCTCTATCGGAGATAAAAATATTATTTTTAATCGTCGAGGGTCACAGCTCATGTAGGACCAACCGACATGTACGGAACGTGTTGATTCTAGTCTGCAATTTTATCGTGTTCGCCGGTGGAATCTCGCGAGATTTACAGAATACAAATTTAATTTCAATATACAAAATATTCCAAAATCACTGGTTTATCTCTGCCAGCTGGCAGAGTATCTGGAAGAGTATTGGCAATTAACAAAAAAATAAACGAAATAATGAAATATTCTCGCGTCTGAAATGTGAAGTGCCAAAACACGTCTCAATCCCGAAGGCACACCGCATATTTTTCCGATTATTAATCGAGGCAAAATGTGAGGGACATTGGCGTGTACGTTCGTGTACTTTTAATAGACCAACGTCTGACCACGAGCGACGTTAATATCGGCCGATCATAACGAGTGTAAGTAGATGCATAATGCGATTGTCCACGTGGTCGTGAGTAATCTGCCGCGCGTACGTGCCCGACGTGCGAGGGAAAACCTCAGGAATGTCACGTGTGGCGTCCACAAGACCGATTTGATCACAGCTCGCGGCTGTGCTCATCCGACAAAGTTCACTTATCGTCGCACATCTGACCGTATGATTAATATGAGGATTATTTCACAACTCTCGCGGCATTAATTATAACGACGGACTCCCCGGCGAGTCTAGAGTCGCGCGACAAAAGAGTTTGCTGCTACTTGAGATTTTTATATGTGCACCCATTATTTTACACATGTATACATCTCCCGATATAAAATTTTCACACCGACATGTAAAATTGACAATTGTAAAGTTTCCATCATCGATTGTCTCACGCCATGATAATTATATAAGTTTATCTGGCAAGTATCCTTCCTGCGCGAGAAATCCCAAGGGAGGTCGCTTTAATGCACGACTGCCTTCATTCAAATCGTCGCGATATCATCCCCGAACGCGGTATATCGACCGTTTAACATTCAGCCGACCTTATTGACGTTACCTAATCGAAATTGGAAAGGTCAGGCTCGTTGGATTATCTGCCACTGCCGCTCTTTGCGCGCAAATTCTATTAAAAAACATATTTTTGCATTAAAGGTCCCAAGTACAGTTCACCACGATCGAGCGTTGGAATAATGTAAATAAAAATGTGCACACGCAGGGGTACTCCGGCGCAATTGTTGATAACGTCGTACGTCGAAGATTACTTTATGAGTGTCTTAAAAAGTAAACTTAAATAATAATACCGAAATGTGTATCCGACTGGTATGGAAAATTCCGTTAAAATCGATACAAAATCGAATCCCTTTCTCTTTGAGTCGTATTGATACGACTTATTGATAATAATGGTGATGATGATGATGATGACAATGATGATGATATTACAATGATGATAACAATGATGATCATAACAGTCTTCCGTCAATCAGATAAAGAAATCATTTTTTTCAATAGAAACCAAAGAATGTATGTTACAAAAACGATCGTATACGCCGTATTATTTATTAATAATTATGTATATGTACTTTCCATAAGAGATGAATCGCGTTTCAGGAGAGGCTGGGCACAATGACGAGCGGTGTAATCGCGTTACACGCACAAAAGTCTGAACGAGGAACTTTTGAAGCCCGAACAAGAGGAATTGGCCGGAGCACCGCGTTTATCTGCGACGAAGAGATGCAGAGCCACGACCCCGATTAATCACTCGATGAAGAAAATATACGCGACGGGCGTGTACGCGGCTGCAGCAACGAGAGGGACCTTCCCCCATTGTTGCAACAGTAAAACGAACAAATGGCCGGCGACATTTGTCGATAAAGAAAGCCGCATGATCGACTTTGATTCCGTGGTGGTTTCGATATTCATGAGAGAAATTCACCTCGACATATTTCACTCCCGCGCTTCAACAATTCCCTCCTAATCTGTCAAATCTGTTATGATCGAGCAGTACATTTCGTATTACTTCTTATACACACACATATTCTCTCTCTCTTTCTCTCACTCTTCCTTTCTTTCTCGGAGAAACTCTTCGATCTTTAGATTTTTGTTGAAAAATAGGGACGCGGTCCTTAGGTCATTCTTTTTATTAATATTTCACAAGGGACATCCGTGCGCTATCTTATCTTCAACATTAGTTGCCGAATAGAACGAATCGGCATTTCCCGTCGTCGCCTCGCTTATTCGCTTAGTGTTCATCTTCGACGAGGCGATATTTCCTCGGCTGTCGATCGCAAGGTGCGCGCGATACGACGCGCATAGAATTATGTACGGTACGAGCCAACGGCGGTGCAATGGCGTTTTTTATTATCCACTCGAGCTATACGCGAGAGAAGGGAAAGAGAGAAAAGAGAGAAAGAGAGAGAGAGAGAGAGAGAGAGAGAGAGAGAGAGAGAGAGAGAGAGAAGGAGTAGATGATACAGCTTCTGATACATACAGTAGCTAAGAGAACTAGTTCCAGAGTCGCTGGACGAGCGGAAGAGGTTTTGTACATCGAGGCCAAAGGTCTCCTTATCTTCCAGACTCTTACAAAAACATTCTCTGTTATCCACAATACGAGCGAACCAGGCGCGTACATATACGTATATATCGATGCGTTATATGACGAGATTTTCAGAGATTGAATAGCCTCTTTATCTTAAGCTTACGAATCTTTATTTTCCTTTCCTCTTTTTCTCTTCTACGTTTTCCTCTGACTGTCGAAACTCACGGTAACTCTCGCGACGAAGATAGTATAATAATTATTCGTGCATTTAGATACGATAAAGGTCCCTTAAATATGCAAATTTTAAGGCTTACCTAAAATACGCGAAGTAAACTTGGCATAAGTTGAAGTAGGAGGTGAAAAGGATTTATTTCACTTACGTTCATATTCTAATACCGAAAGTATTTCTATACTATAAAGTATTTCTATATTTCTTCCTTATACCGAAAGTATTTCTATCCAGAATGCCAGGCAATAGGCAATAGGAAGAAGGAATAGGAATTCGGATTGGTAAATTATTTCTATTCCCTATTGGCTAATACTTATTTCTATTGCCATTATGTCTTTATATTTAAGAAATAAAAAAATAAATAGAGAAAGAAATAGAGAGAGAAATAAAGGGAAAGTGTTTTCCTTTTTTCTTTTTTCTTTTCCTGTTTACGTTTCTTCTTTCTCTTTCTCTTTCTTCAACACGTGTGAAAATGTGCGTCTATAGTTTATCACTGCGCGATACTTCATACACACTTCAAAAATAAATAATTGGAAATTTATTCATGAAACATTAAATTTTATTTTACACAGAGAAATTTTACACAGAAATAAACTTTACTTCACACACACAAAGAAATGTAAACTTTCTGTCTCACAAATAAATATTCAAGTATTTTCTCTCAGTGTACTCCTTACTTTTTGCTTGTCCTTTTGCACTTTATTATTTTCTCCTCTTTCTTGTATGCGTGCTTTTGTCTCTTTGGATGAAAAACTTTTGTTATACTTTTTCCATAATTGTTTTATAATTTTTTAGAGGCCTTGGAGTCTTGGAGAGGATTTCAACAAACAGCCTCCCCTTTTTCTCTACCGATTGTCTTCGTTAAATACCTCTTTATCCTCCTTAAAATCCACCTTTTGTACGAAAAGCAAAATAAGGAGCGCCCGTACGAGGCGCTGCAGCGCTCACGAAGGAACAGGGAATGCATTGTAGGTAGGCGTAGTGGCTGTTGGATAGGTATGCCGTTGGCCTAGGTATGGGTGCGTTCTGCCTATTTCCGATAAGAAGGCCAGGTGTTCTCGCGCACATCGTCCACGGCGTATTCCCTGCATAACGTCGACGTCGTCGTCGTTATTGTCGTAAAGTTATAATCCGCGACCGCATTCACACGCGCGGAGCACGTCGGGTGATTCACACAGCGGGGCAATCCACACGCTCGCGTTCACTCAAAAGCGGCACGTATGAAAATGCGCGGTAGCCTATCACTACGTGATACTTCATCGCCCGCGATTTGCCGCCTCGTTCTGCGTCCTACCAATTGTTTGTGATTTCCAGCTGTTATTCGCGGCGCAAAAGTCCTGCTCGCTCGAAAATACACCGCAGTGGCGATCGTTCTTAACCTTTTTTGTCAAAATAAACTAATGAGAGGGGAAAGGAAAGGGATAGGTCGCCATGTCATTGTGTCACAAAGAAGGATTAGGTACTAAAACACAAGAAAAAGAAACGAGGAGTAAGGGAGACCAGAGCCAGTTTTGACAGCAGGTCAAATGCAGGTTATAATGATGCTTGCATCTTTGTTTTAGCTCTAAACCTTTTTGTATGAAATAACAGTATCGTTACAACCTGCTCTTGTTAAAACTAGAGCCATAGTTTCTCCTCGTGTTTCCTTTCTTCAATCTTTTTCCTTTAGTATCCATTCTGTTTTGGTGACGCGACGAATTTTCCCCTCACTTTCCCCTTTCTCGATAGTTTATTTGAACAGAAAGGCTCAAGAACGATCGACACCGCGACGCACTTTCAAGCGGACGCTCGTCTTTCCTCGAAAACCCGCGAACCAACCGCGTGGAAAGGCTCGTTGCTGCTATGCGTCGCACTTGAAACTGCTTACGCTGCCATAATCACCATCAGTGTCGTCGCAATGTCTGCCGCTGGAGCTGCACCGACGACTGCGGTCGCGGCTACACAGATTAGGCTACTATGCGACTCTTAAAAGACGATAGAAAGTCCGCAATCG